TTTCCCTATTTAGAATAGGACTTACCTCCTTCCACACATCTATCTTCTCAGATTGATGAGGACATGACTGCCCGAATTAGCATGGCTGACGTCAAGTTCTCCTTCCAATGCCCTGGGCGCATGTATGCACCTGCTTGGGTGGCCCCTGAAGGTGAGTGAGGGCATCATGTTGGGAGGTAGAGAAGGGCCAGCTCAGTAGTAATGGAAGGGGGCAGAGATGGGACAGGACAGGCAGCTGGAACAGATAAATCCTGTCCCTTCAGCTCTGCAGAAGAAGCCTGAGGACACAAACAGACGCTCAGCAGACATGTGGAGTTTTGCAGTGCTTCTGTGGGAACTGGTGACACGGGAGGTACCCTTTGCTGACCTCTCCAACATGGAGATTGGAATGAAGGTGAGAGCACAACTATATACACTTGTGTTGGGGGAATGGCAGTTGTGACAATAATTGTAGTGGGGCTGGGTTCTTCCCACATTTGTTCAAATATACAATAATCCTGTCCTAGGGGCCTCTCCCTACATGAGATTCAAGTTCTGAAACTCACCTTGTCTTTTCCTGTATTTACAGGTGGCACTGGAAGGCCTTCGGCCTACCATCCCACCAGGCATTTCCCCCCATGTCTGTAAGCTCATGAAGATCTGCATGAATGAAGACCCTGCTAAGCGGCCCAAATTTGACATGATTGTGCCTATCCTGGAGAAGATGCAGGACAAGTAGGGCTGAAAAGTCCTTGCCTAAACTCCGGAGGTGTGGGGACACCTTTAGGGGAGTGTGCCTCCCCCAAACAGCAGGCTTTTGGTTTCGTCCCCTGCCTCCAGTCATGGTACTATCCCAGCCATGGGGCCCATCCCCTGCTCCCATCCCTACCACTGTGGCCCCAAAAGGGGCTGGGCTCATAGCTTTGTCACTTGCCACACGATGTCTCCCAGCATGGGAGGGATCAGCCCTGCCTGTCACAATAAAGTTTATTATGAAAACAGGCTGGTGTGGGGGACAAGGGGAAAGATAAGTACATTTAGATTGGATGGCTCAGGTGAAGTAATGCGGCTTCTTCACATTGATGCCATACTCGCTGAGGGCAGGGGTCAAGTCCTCCATGGTTAAAGTATACTTGCGGTCCTGAGGGAAGAGGGAAGAGCACTAGCTGAACACAGGAATCTGATTTCAATCCCAGATGGGTGACCCTGAATAGGTCTTTCACCTCCCCTAGGGCTCAGTTTCCCCAAAGGGGTTTCAGGATAAATTAAGCCTCCGCTGTTGTGGGAGGTAATTACTGATTCAATGAGCCTCCCCTCACACCTTGCTCTTGCTTCTGGAGCTGCCAGAGGCTGTGCCTTTCATTTTGCAGTGCTGTAGTGCATCATTAGCAATATCTGAGATGAATTTCTGGGCAGCTAGAGAGATGAGCCGAATTCTAGAGAGAAAAAACTAGTATAAGCAGATGGAAGACAAATTCCACAAAAACATCCAAGGCTCTAACCTGCTCAGAATTTACTCACATGCGAGGGTCCGAGGCCTCAAAGCCAGCTCGGTTCAGGTAATAACCAGTCACCGCATCTGGAATCTGAGAAATCAATAAGACAACTGTCAGTGTTAGCCTTGTGCACTGCTGGGCTGAGAGGGCGTGAGGGAATGGAGGACAGGTCTGATTATCAGGAAGCTCAGTGTGGGTGGCAGAGGGGATAAATCAAGAGCTAGTTGGGTGGGGGGGCGGAATACAAGAAGAGGATGCTGGAAATCTAGGTGGCTTGGCGGAAAGTTGGTGTGGCAGCAGGCCAACAGCCTTGTTCAGGCAGGAAGCCCACCGTAGGCGTGTAATCCTCCAGCTGCATCAGGAAGTCCACCAGAGGCGTGCTGGACACCACCGGCTTCACATCTCCGTTGGCCGCACTCGGCAACACATAAACCCCGTTAGACATGGCCCCCTCTGGGGGCGCCGCGCCGCCCGCCGACACCGCAGCTGGAGGAGAACCAGCAAACTGAGACACGGAAGTGGAAGGCGCAGGGTCCCAAGTAGGTCTGCCTTACACCACCCGCTGCCCTCCCCCGCCGATGGGGCCAGCCCAGGGCGCTGCCTACACCCTCACCCGCCCCGCGCCGCTCGGCCGGCTCCCCGGCCCGCGCCGCCACGGGTCCCGTGACCCCTGCCGCGGTTCCAGCCCCAGGCCCCCCAGCTGTCCCCGCGGGGCTGGCTTTGTTTTCCGCAGCGGTGCCTGCAGGCAGCGCGGGAGGGGCCGAGACCGCGGGTGCCGGGCCTGGGGCCGAGGCGGCGGAGGCCGGCGCCGCCTCAGGGTCCGCGCCGGAGCCGCTGCAACTCATCAGGCCGGTGGGAGAGGCGGCGAACAGAGCCGCTTCCGCTTCCGTTCACGTTACGCACACACCAGAGTGGCGTCACACGCTTCACGCTCGCCCCTCCCACGCCATGACCGCTCTCTCCCCAAGGCGAACCTCCCGCTAGTTGCCCGTATGCCCGCTGGATGACACAGGCAAGGGGCGGAGACCAAATCCTGGAGAATCGCGCTGGGCGCAGACGTTTCCTGGAATGTCGAGGGCGCTTTTCCCGGTGTGGGAGTCGCATTCAGACTGACACCTAAAGACCTTGCTTTGGGCTCATCGGCCCGACACCCCTCGACCACCGGTTGTCTGCCAGTCTGCAACCTTTCTAGTTCCCTTACTCAGCCTTTTAAGGGTTCGTGGTGGAGGTGGAAACCCCACCTTCCAGCCAGCTGCCCGAAAGTGAGGGCTGGAGGTGAGCGCACACAGTTGCTACTGTAGATGAGGATGGAGGTGTTTCGGCCTGAGTAAATAACATACAAAATCACAGCGCGTTAAAATGAGGTTTTCAATGTAGCAAACATTTATTTCCTATTTGCCAATCCTGAGCTAGGGCCTGGGAATAAAGTTAAATAAAACAAGATTCTACTCCTCTAGGCACCAACAATCTTAGGGAGGCAAACAGGCCAACTGGCAATTTCAATTCTACGATGGAGTTACAATATTAGAGGTAGAAACAGTGCGCAAGGGCGGAAGGGAACTAACACCTGCTTCCTACTTGTGTGTCAGGTACTCTATCACCTTTATTCCATTTAATTATTCACTGATTATTATGAGAGGCAGGTATTGATATCTCCACTTAACAGGTGAGAAAAAGGCTTAGGGAGAAGAACTTATTTTCCCAAGGCTCTCCCCTAGTCTAGATCAGAAACAAGAATCAAACAGTCTTGGTTTCAAAAATCTAGGATTTTGTGCCATACCCAAATCAACTAGTTTCAGGAAGCCAAAGGTTCACAAGAGAAGGTGGCTTCTGAACTGAATCTGGAAAGAATCCTGGAAATTAACCAAGCAAGGAGAATCAGGGATAAAGGGTACAGAATATCTTGAGCAAAAGTGAAAGAATGTGTATGGGGGAGAGCAGAGGAGGATAAACAATTTGTTACTTGGGAACAAAAAGCAAGGAAGTGACCAGGTTTGTGAGTCATGATAAAAAGCCTCAAATTTATCCAGTGATCTTTGAAGGGTCTTAATGAAGTAAATGACCTGATGGGATTTTCATTTTACTCTGGGAGATGGTTTAGGGAAGGGCAGGAAGGTTGTTTTTTGCAAGGACCTTTTACAATTCAAAGGAGAGAGAATATGGCTCTAAGCTAATGTAGTAGCAATGAAGATGGAGAGACGTAGATGAGTTCTAGATATACGTAAGAAATGTAATTGGTAGGACTCGTGGATTCATAAAGATATAATTAAGAGGTAAAGTCAGTAGGACTTAACTGAAGGTGGTGGGGGAGGGAGGTGAAGAAAATAGTCTAGAATAACAGTTGGGTCTCTGGCTTGGCTGGAAGCAGCATAGTATCAAACAAACAAACAAAAAACAAAAGAGAACAGTGATATTAAGAAGGAGGGAGAGAAATGAAGTGTTGCGTATCACACATCTTGCTTTTGAGGTATCAATCACTGTTGGGTAGAAAGTCTGATTTAGTGAGATGGCGATGGCTGTGGATGCCAATCAGTGACTTGTTCTAGGGGACAATGTGTAGAGTGAGAAGAGCGAAAAACTAAGGGTGGAGCAATAAAGTACACCAACATTCAATGAGGAAGAAGAGGAGGAGGAGGAGGAGGAGAGGATGGTCAGAGAAGAAGTTAAGCCCTGGAAGGAGACGGAGTAGGCAACTATGATAGGGTCATAAAACAAAGATTGGAAGTGTGCACTGGATGAAGCAGCAAGGAGGCCATTGTTTTTCAGCGTCAGCAGAGGAAAGAATAAAAAAGAGCAGAAGCCTCATCGCAATGAATTGAGGAGCAAACATGAAGTGAAATCATGTTCATAGAGACTGTTGACAACACTTTGCAAAAGCCTGGTTGCAAAGAGAAAGAAGAAATGAGGGCAAGTGGGTGGGTTGGGAGATGCTCCCAAATAGTACTGGTTATAGTATCTATAGAGGAACCTGAGGCAGGAAGGAGTAGGGAGACCTGAGTATGATGGAGCAGGGTTAGGTGTGAGAGTCTAGTCACACTCATAGCACTTCAGGGTTAGGGAGATAAGCTGTCTGCAGCAGTCAACAGGTGAAGGTTCAGCAAGGCTTCCAACAGTGCAGAATAAGGAAACAAGCCAGCAGCTGTGGGGCAAAGGGCAGGTCCACTCTCAAGGGTTGATTAATGTCTTCAGCAGAGCTGGGAAGTTGGGTGTTCCCCAGCCTGTCACAGGATCCCAGCCAGGGCCAGAGCAGAAACCTTGACCCTGCACCTCTTCATTCAGACAGGACTCATGGCAGCCACGGGTTACCTAGGGAGAAGGTGGGCATCAGATCTGGACCTGCTGGTACCAGCACTACTAGACTACATCCTCTCACCCTGTATTCACATCCCATACTCATGAAAATGTCCACACCCTTCCCTTCCGCACTCACATCAAAGAGTCCTGCCCCACGCTGCTGGTAGAGCCTTGGGTTGAGAAAGCCAAGAGGGGGGCGGCCACTGAGGATTCTGTGTTCATTTATCAGGGATAGCAGCCCTCCAAACACTGGAGTAGAGGCCTGCATAGGTGAGGGTACAAGTAGAAATTAGGGATGCAGGAGTGATTAGACTTTTGGGGAGGGAGTTTTAAAAAGATCAGAGGTCTCTGAGGAGTCAGGGATCCTCAGTACAAGGTCTTGAGGGTAGAGGCTGAGGGTAGTTCCTGAAGGTTTGGAGCCAGGCTGATTCTCACCGAGGTGCCCGAAACCCATGGAATGGGCACGTGGTTGCTGACCACCCAGTAGCCATCAGAGAGTGCAGCCACATCTGGGTAGGCACGGCCACTGGCATTGAAGTAACTGGATGGTGGCAAGTGGGGGCTGGAGCTCAGGAACTGGGTTACAGCTTCCTCCTGAAAGGCATTGTTGAGTAAGTATTGTCTCCTGAACTGAGGATTCCTGCCCTCCTCCCCCTCTCATCCATCCACACAAACATACACTACACATACCTGGTATGAAGGGCGTGGGAACACATTGCTGAAACCACCACCACTGATATAGTCAACAATCTCACTTGTAACTCGGAAAGGATTCTGGAATGATGTGCCTCCCACCGTGGTAACATAGGGGCTGAGGGCAGAAGATAGCACTCAAATTATAGGGGCCCCAGGGACACCTCCAAAGTGTGTGGGGATGGGTGAGTATGGCCTGGGTCTTGCTAGAGGGGCTGGACTCTGTGGGGAAGCATGTACATGGGAATGACTAAGAGGTTTTGAGCTCTCAAGGCATGGCTAGGTGCCTA